TAGAAGCTCTCATCACTATACCAGGGTTGGAGGAAACATCTCACCTCCTTTGGTCTCTTCTTGCAGGTTCTGACCCCTTGCAGGTCCGGGTGAAGAATGGCCCCAGTCCCTGTGCGGGGCGGGTGGAGGTCCTCTACAACAGGACCTGGCGTGGGGTGTGTGGTGGCACTGGCTGGAGCCTGCTGGAAGCTGAGGTTGTCTGCAAGGAGCTGGGCTGCGGGCCAGCCCAGTCAGCCCCCGTGGGAGCCCAGTTTGGCCAGGGGGATGGTCAAGCCTTGGTGGAAGGGCTGAGCTGCCGGGGAACTGAGTCGCTGCTCCTGGAGTGTCAGCAGAGGCAGATGGTCCTGGGACTGTGCAGACATGGCTTGGTGGCCAGCGTGGTGTGCGGAGAGCAGAAAGGTGAGCTCCAGGACCACCGCCCTCACCTGCTCTCATCTGCATTGGGGCCAAACTAGAGGATGCACAGGGTGGGGTATGCCCATTCCTGCCCCTCCCAGATAGGCAGATGCAAATGTTAGAGATGCAAGCTGGAGGCACCTGAAGGATGAGATAAAAATGACCTTAAGCTACACCGGGGGAGGTTTAGGTTGGATCCTAGGAGGAACTTCCCCAAAAGGGTTGTCAAGCACTGGAAGAGCCTGCCCAGGGAGGTAGCTGAGTCACCATCTCTCCAGGTGTTTAAAAGATGAGTTGATGTCGTGCTTAGGGACATGGTGGCTGGCTTGTTAGGGCTGGGCCAATGGTTGGACTTGATCTTAAAGTTCTTTTCCAACCAAAACTGTTCTGTGGAGGCAGTGGCTGTGAAGCAGCGGAGTGAGACCGATTGGGTGAAGGCGTCTCAGTGGGCGTGGATGTCAGAGCATCCCCAGTGGTTACTCCCTGATTGCATTAGCCCAGTGGGAGGGGGGTGTCCATGCACCCATTGTCCTGAAGCAGAGGGTGAGCTCTCCTGCTGGTCAGCCTCACCGCCCAGGACAGTGAAGTGGGTGTGTTGCAAGTCTCCCAAAAGATGCAGCAGAAGGGAAGGGTGAGAGGGTCACGTCATCCAACCAAGTCCCTTCTGAGCTTCAATTCTTCCTGCAGACCTTATACAGTCCTGCTCAGTGCTGGCAGGCCTGCTCGGCTTGGGGGCAATGCTCTGCGGGACACTCTTGGTCCTGTACCTGTGGACAAGGTGTGGAAGACAGACCAGAAGCTTCCCAGGTAAGAGCAGGACCACAGCACGTGATGTTACCCAGTCTGCTTGTGGAGCTGACCGGTATGGACGCATCCCAACCTGCAGCTGGGGTTTGAACCCTCCAGGCATTGCCCTGCTACTTTGTTTTGCAGACAAGCCACTTATGGAGAGGACAGAGGACACCAGGACATTGTCGGAGGCGTAGGCAGCCACGCTCCTGGTGTTGAAGGCAAGGCTCCCTCAGCATCCTTGAAGACCCCGTTCTGTGGAGCCAGAAGAGTAGAGCGATTGCGTCGACAGTTGGCAGACAGGACCCTCTCTGCAGACCCTCTCTGAGCAGAGACCTCATAGCCCCAGTTTCCCCATAGCCTCCACATTACCGCACTGAGCCTCTGTGGGTCCCCATTCCTCCACGCAGCCTCATGAAGTCCCTCAGTCTCCAAGAAAAGTCTTCTCAGAATAAACCCAACCTGGTCCTCTGTGTAGGGTCCGGCATCCTAACCCCACAGACTCCTCTACTTCCCAGCCCTAGAGCTCCTACAATCCTTAATCCTAGCCCTACAGCCCTCTATAAACCCCATAACCTCCTGCAGAAACTTCTGCTGTGGCACCCAGTGCCTCTGTCCTTGCCACATTCCTGACAAGATAGTGTCTTTCCTCCTAATCTCCCATGGAAATGAGGAGTAATTCCTGACCCAGGATGCTCTCCTGCACCGCACGCAACCCCTTCTGTGAAATGAGAAGTGCGCTCAAAAGCTGTTTGAGAAGGAGTTAAGTCCCTGACTCATTGTATTTATTCAACCCACTTTTGAATACCAGTAAAAAAAATAAACCCTGAAACCTGAACGAATGAGAATGCAGCATTGTGCAGATTCAGGGATGGTGAGGTGGAAGTGGTGGAAGAAGGGGCTGTAGAACCGCATCAGATGCAGGAGACTCAAGATCGCTAACGTTGGGTGAGATAGGGTCCTGGTCATCAACAAGGGTCATGTTCCCCGTGGGGGCAACCCAGGAGTCAGGTCTGAGCCCCAAATCATCCACGGCTTTGGTGAAGCCAGGAGGGCCCATTGTCAGAGGAATGTCCTGGCATCATGGTGAGGGAATGAAGGGGCCACAAGCTTGACCAGGTGGTGATAAAGGTGTGTCTTGTGAGACAAGCTGATGTCCACACAAGGGCATGGAAGGAAAGAGTTGGTGCAAGAGGCATCAGGGAGAAGACACACATCATGGAAGGGTCACTGCATGTATTTCAACCCCCTTCAGGTCTATGCTCCCACCTCTCCTTCACTCCTTGCAGCTAAGACCAGTTTTCATCTTGTTACTTTTCCTAAGCCCCAGCCCTAGAGGTGCCCTGGCTGGGTGTCTCCCAGCGTGGCTGCAAGGTCATCTGCTTCTCCATGGGCATCCATCACTCTGGGGACTTCACAGTTTCTCAGCCTCCTCAACGCACCCAAGGCTTCTCATCTTCCTGCTGGTTGCCCCGGTAGACCTGGTCCTCCAGCCTTGTCTGTCCCAAAGTTTACATCAAAGACTCAGAGCTTCTAGCTCTGGACAATGTCCTCAGAATAGGGGAAAACCAGGAGCTTGGAGCCAGTTTTGTGCAGAAAAATATGGGCACCATCTGGAGAAGATCTTTGTAATAAATCTGGGATGACCTGATGCTCTTTAGAGCTCCAACATGCAGGATCAGCATCTGCTGGGTCCCAGATTGGACCATCTCTGCAGATATGCTCTGCAGGGATTGCAGTATCCCACGAAGTGGTTTCAGACTTCCCAGGGGTACACAATGCCCCCATCTGAAACAAACAAAAAGGATATGGGACCCATGACTTGCGTCTAGAGCGGCTCTTTGTCCCAACTGGGAAAAACCCCAGCAGAAACTGCCTCACCCAGAACTGCATCCGCTGCGTCAGACTCCAACCGCTCACAGCATTTCCACGCTGGTCAGTGTCGGGAACCTCTTTGGTGCTGACTTGTTTGTTTGCAAGGAAAGGGGAACAAAGTCCTTGGGCTCACTGAGCCTCAGGACAAATGAATGTGGTCACTTTTCCTGACTGCTCGATGTTTTATGAGTTTTGATGCACTTCCACCCTGATTTTCACCCACTCATTCTTGCACCTTTGTTTAAGACATTTCTTTCTTTTCTTTTGGTCTTCAACCTCAGCTCTGCGTGCCTCTGAGGTTTGGATTCTTCCTGGCTGGTCTTCCTAGAGGCAGCAATCTACTCTTCACTCTACCTCTTTCAGGTTTTGCCAGGCTGAACAAGTTAAACTCTGGCTGAGACCTTCCTGGCCATGCTGTCCTCTTCCCATCACATACCTCTCACTTTTGCACGAACACAGGTGGAACCACTTGCCTCATTTCTGGCAGGTGTCACATCCTTGCCCAACACAATCCCCATCTTCATTGCACCACCAGCATGGCACCCACCTCTGCCTGAACCCTCCCACCTGGAGCAACAGGTGACGTTAATTTTTACGACCCTTTTGCAAACCTAGTTCTTTCCAGCAGCATGTGGCAGCTCTGGCTTCAGGCCCTTTCCTTGTACAACTTCAT